TTTGAAAGCAGATGTTGACAACAAAGCTGACAAAGAGTATGTAGACGATGCAATAGCAAAAGAAGAAGAAAGAGCTAACAAAGCTTATGCAACAAAAGAGGATGTTGAAAAGAAAGCAGATAAAACATATGTTGACGATGAGTTAGCATGTGTGGCTAGTGCGTTAGTGAAGAAGGCATATAAGGAATATGTGGATGAAAAAGACAATGAAATTAAAGAAAGGGTTGACTGGTACCATGAACGGACAACAAAGATTTTAAAAGGTAAAGCCAATACAGGATGGGTTTCAGGGTGTTTAGACCTTAAAGCCGACAAGAACCATACACATACCATTGCAAATATTACAAACTTACAAGAAACCTTAAACAGGAAAAGTGACGTTGGACATACACATACCATTGCAAATATTACAAACTTACAAGAAAAGTTAGATGACAAAGCTGACAAGAACCATACACATAACTTCTTCTCAACTGTTGGTATAGAAAGTATTTTAGGAACGATTGAAGAAACTGGTGGGGGTGGATTATATTTTAAACCTCCTAACTTTCCACAAGGTTTAACATCGGATAAAGACATTAGATGTAGAAATGTCTATGTCATGGAGGATGAAAAAAAAGTTAAATTCACTGCTCAAGATTTATATGACAAGAAAGCTGACAAAACAGAGCTTCAAACATTAAAGACAGAAATACTTCAAACCATTTACCCGGTTGGTTCTATTTATACGTCAATGAACTCTACCAGACCAGAAACAGTTCTGGGTTTTGGAACTTGGACTCAAATACTCGAAAGGTTTTTGTATTGTGCAAACTCTTCAAAGGAAACAGGTGGAAGTAAAACGATTTCAGGTGAAAACTTACCTGCACACAGTCACTACATAGATTTAAGTACATCTCAAGCAGGTTGGCATAAGCATAGATATTGGGATTGGTCAGGAATGACAAAAGGTAAAGGATATGATGTTAAAGACAACGTTAAGTTTGCTATAGATTGTTACTGGAGTAACACTGAGGGAGGAGGAAACCATACACATCGCGTTTCAGGGTATACGCAAACAACGGGACGAGGTAAAAAATACATGCCACCTTACATGACAGTTTGTGCATGGTATAGAATTGCTTAGTCGTCATTTTCAACTTCTTTAGCATATTCGTCAGGAGTTGTCTTATATTTGTTAGGAACTGTCTTTGAAAGTATACCACCTTGAACTTTAACAAGTTTGAAACGAGGTCTGGCAATAGTAGTTTTATCTTCTGCTTGCAGTGTACATTTTGCCATGTTTGCCTAAAACTTCATAATATTCTCTTGTATACTTTCTTCTATTTTTACGAACACGAATGTGAGTACCTGTCGGGTACTTGTTTTGTCATAGTCAATAGTATTTTCATATGGGTCGCGTTTAGGTATTTCTATTTTTACTTTGTCTCCTTTCTGAAGTTTGAAGCCCGGCATTCTTTCTTGTTTGTCTCTTTTGACTAAATTGTTAAATATATAGTCTTTCTCTAAGTCAGGGTTGTTTTTCATTTCTTCGGGGAGTGGTTTCCCAAACCTTTTTGTTTACGGCTATTGTAAATATTTAAAACTTGTCTCATCTTTGCCATGGAGAAGTGTCTATATTTGTCGTCATATGACATTTCATTTGCTTCACCACCTTGTGGTTGGTTTAAGTCTCTTAACATTTTTATACAACCGTCAATGACACCAAGAGCAGAATGGTTTTGGTCGACAATGAAATATTGGTTTACATTTTTTGAACGCAGATAGTTTTTAATATCGTCTGATTTGAAAGAACTTTCGTAGTCAGATGTCAGTTTTGTTGGATGGTATTTGTCAACGAATATTGTCAAAGCAGTTTTCACATCTAAAATATTTTGGACCATAATGGTATGGCTTCACAGTATCTTGTGTTTTGACCGACAAATATTAGCCAGTATGGTGGTCCATCTGTTCTAACTCTCGGAATGTTTTCCAAGATATCCATAAACCAAGCATTTGGTGTTGAACTAAAGATTTTTACCATGAGTGCTTTCTTTGTCCTTTAGAAACATAGGGGTCCTTGTTTGGATTCGTCATTTTTAACCCATAAGAAATGGGTTTATTTGGCGCGTTAGCAGGAGTCGCATCTAGATTTTTACCCGCAGTGGGAACAATAGCCAGAGGTGTATTTGGAGTTGGAAGGAAGATTTTGAGTACATTAGGTATACTTAAAGAGAAAGCACAACCTATTATACAAACTGTACAGAAAGGTTGGGATGTAGCACGAGATGCAGCAAATCTTATTCCAAATCCTGAAACAAGAGGAAAAGTTCAAGGATGGATGGACAATGTAGGGAAACAAGCAGGAAACTACTATAACAAAGCAAATGACTACTATAACCAAGCAGGACACTATATGGACCAAGGTGAAAGATTCTTTAACAGAGGATATAACCATGCACAACAGTGGGTAAACAACAACCAACCGCAACCACCTCAAACGTGGGGAATGTAAAGTTTTTTACTGAGATGAAATGAACAATACAGCATTGAGACAAATGGGTTCAAGATGGATTTGTCGGCTTCCAGCAGTTACACAACCACGTGTTTGTCAAGTTCTTCCTATACCTCAGGAAGTTTTAGACCGACTTAAAAAACAACAACAACCAGTTGAAAACAAACCAAACTAAAATTTTTTACTGAGATGAAATGACCGAAGAAGTTGAAACGGTAGATTTGACACCACAAACAAAAAGTTCAGAACCATTGTCAAAACCTGTCAAAGAACTTACAGATGAAGAGAAAAATTCAATAATAGAAAGTGCCAGGTCTGGAAATACAAACTCTAACTACAAAGTCACTTTTCATAAAAATGGAACGGCAAGTATCTCAAAAAAGAAACAAACTCTCACAAATAAAATATTGAAGTCTGTGGGAGCTTTCGAGACAACAGATGGAAAAGTTTACTTCACTGACCAACAGTTCATTATAGAACATCTCATTGACTTAGAGTCGAAATATTCTAAACTTTACAACAAACACAAAAAGTTGAAAGGAAAACAAAAACAAATGGCATATGATATTTATGAAGATGTTAACGACACAACTGTTCCTGCAAGTGAAGTAAAGTCAGAGGAACCGAAAAGTGACGAAAAACCAATAGAAGAAGAGAAACCAAAAACTGAAGATAAACCAAAACCAAAGTTTAGTTTGGAGACTAAACCAAGTCAACCTTCATTAGCTGGTATGGGTTGGCGTCAAAGACTTATGGTAGCTGGTGGTTATGTTAAGTAAAGAAAACAGTATATTTTTTTATTTTTATAAAAATGCTCCTGTATAGAATGGATAGAAAATCTGCTAGAATAAAAGCAGAGTTAGAAAGATATGGTTGGAGAGTTTCGAAGAATTTTAAATATAGGAAGGGAAGACCCATAAAAGTCTATGACAAACTTGCTGGTCTTCGCTATGAAATGGACTTAGAAACAGCACGTGCCAATTATCCAAACAGACTAGAGAGGTTAGAAGAAGAACGTCTTATGGACATGCCTTTCGATGTTACTGAGCCTCAAGTTGAAGGACACGACGGCTTTGCCAGATTCTACTGGAAACATGACGAACAATTCCATCCTTTGAGAAGAAAAAAGGGAAGAGGTGAAGACGCACATGCTCCCATGGAAAGAACAAGATATGCATATGAAAAGTATCGTGAAGTTAGAAGTAAAATTATTTCTGGTCGAACCTTTACAGTAAACTTTGACAAAGGAAAGAACAAAGAAGGCTTCATGGGTGTACTTGCTGCAATTCAAGACGGAAATAAGAAAGGACACAATCTCAGATTGACCATAACAGATTTGGACGGTCACATTTACTATGCATATGGCAATGAACAAACAGCCGCAAAACTTCTTGACGCTTTCAAGACTACAAAGAGAGAACAAATGGTTGACTCCGACTCAGACATTTTGAATGCAATTGAAGGAATTGCAAGTGTCAAGTTCGAATGGTACCAACCTAACCCTCAAGCAGTCAGACAACATGCTGGATACTTCCCCTTCATAAATAAGTCTGACATTGACTTGACAAGGTATGGAATTTACAATTCAATTGAAAAAATTGTCAATGAACCTTGCATTCTTACATGTCTCAGAAACTCCGGTCTTGTTACAGATGAGAAGATGAAGTATCTTGAGTCATGTGTGAAGACAAGGTACATTCTCAGAGGTCAATTGGCAAAAATTGCACCGTTGGCAAATGTCAATATCCGAGTCAACATACCTACAGCTAAAGGTTCTTCACATGACGACTATGTTGTTGACTTCAAATTGCCATGGTTGAAGATTGCAATTGTCCACAACCACTTCATGTTGAACGAAAGTCTTACAAACCCATTGTTCGGAAAAGGTAAGTGCAACATTGTCAGAGCTGTTAACATTCTTTTCGAGAAAGGTTTGTTGGAACCAATTCCAGATGACAAGCTGACAGAAACCTTTGTACCAAAAGACGAAACAAACTTTTCATTGTTAGCAAGACCAAAAGTTGTTCCAGACAAAGTTCTAGTACAAAAGAAGTACACAGTTCCACAAGGGGTTGGTATGTTCGGATACCAACCTGAACCAGAAGAACTTCCAATGAGGTTGCAAGAACTTCAAGATGCTATAAACAAACTTCCATTGAGACATCCAATTGACGTCAAATTGTATTGGAGAGCATCTGAGTTAGGTCAGAAGGTTTTATATGAAACAGGTTGCTTTGACGATGTTTATGAGATAACAGGGGAGGTATCTCAGAAGATAAGAGACTCGCTTGAATTTCCACAAACTGGACCAATAGGTTGCGACAAGTTCGACTCATACGAAAAAATATACTATGTCGACCTTAACGCTGCGTACATGAGGTTTGTCCAATATATTCCGACTGGAATTCCAAACGAAGATGGTGAGTTCCCGGGAAGGAACTATACAGTTGGAAAGGTCATACAACAACTATATGATATTAGGAAAGCTTCAAACCCCAAACTTGCAATGACACTCAAATTGCTTATGAATTCGACATGGGGATATTCCATTAAGAAACCTCAAGAGATGAAGAGTAAACATTATGAGAAGGTCGACAACTTTGTTGAAAGGTTTTCTCCTTTTGTTTTGAAGTACGAGTTCACCGAAGGTCAAAGTGGCTTAGTAACCACATTAAAACCTATTGTCGAACATTGGTCTTACCCTCAGTTCGCAAAGGCAGTCCTTGACAACTACAACAAATTCTTCTCCGAAGTCAAATCCAAAGTAGTGGTATACTATGAGAACATCGACGCACTCATGACGAACGAAGAAGGATACAACAAACTCATTGAAATGGGAATGGTCGGTGAAAAGATGGGCCTTTTTAAGCTAGACAAGGTATTTTCCGAAGTTCATGTAATATCGAAAAGGAAATATTGGGGTATACTTGAAGATGGCACAGAAATAAAACATTGCATGAAATAAAACATTGCATGAAGTAAAACATTGCATGAAATAAAAACTTTTTTAAAACCATATATTTTTACATATATGAAATGCTTCAGGTTGAAAAACAAAGAACAAAAGTAGCAGATACAAAACCGTTAGACTATATCTTCACAAATGCCGGTAGAAATATTTCAGATGAAGAAATTTCATCCCGTTCATATAGGTTTGACTATCCAATTCGTTGGCTTCAAAGTCCTTCAGATGCAAAGGCAATAGGATTTAGAAGAGTTTTGTTTTCAAATAGAACGAATGCCTTCATGTTCGCAGTATATTTTCATGGTCAGTATAAAGGTTCTGATGGTCTAATAGAAAAATTTGACGAAATGAAAATCTTTACAGTTCGTTCAGACGAAAGTCTTGAGAAAACTCTAAATGACTTTCAAACTCAAATAAACAAATACTATTGGGAATTTCAAGAAAAATACCACTCTTTACTAAATGGAACATACTATCTGAAACTAGAATATAACAAGATGAACTCAACCGTTTCATTTCAAAAGATTGAAATTAACCCTCCAAGAGATACAGAGATTGGGAGTAGACAAACGTTCTTGGGCACAATTTCTTCGGTTACTAAACCAGAACGAACCATTACCACCAGATGGTCCATTTAATTTTATACTTCCACCAGCAGATTTGACAGTTTATAGAAACGTGTTTGACCCTCAAAATGTTATGTGTCATGCAAGTTTCAGTTCAAGCAACAACAGTTTTCTTTGTATCGGTAAGGACTTTTATGACTTTGCTTCTAAATTCTACGAACCACCTAGTAACAGTTTCTCTGACTTTCAAGTTTGGTTCACAACAAACGGTGTGCAGCATATAATACCATTGTACTATGACTTTTATCTCGAATTGTCTTTCATATACAACTACGGAAAAGTGCTGAAAAAGTATTGAAAAATGAGTTTTGGTTAGATGTTTTTTTAGGTGTGCCTATGTGCCCATGTGCCTCGGTCAAATGAACTTCTTTTAAAAAGTGTGACAACATGACATTTTGACAACAGTCCAGGAAATAAACTTCATCGTATATGTTTTGAAGAACTGAAGTGTGCCTATGTGCCCATGTGTGCCTATGTGCCTATGTGCCTCGGTCAAATGAACTTCTCTTAAAATTACTGACAACACGACATTTTGACAACATCGTAGAAAACACACAAAACTCTTGAATTTTGTATAAAAAAAGCAACCGCCGGAATTCCGACGGTTGGTATATTCTTCACAAAATGCTTGTTTTGAGGTCGAGCCACTTTTGGCTCGACCGTATTTTTCAACCAAAACTCTTGAATTCGGCAAAAATATATTTTAGGTGGAACCAGGTCACCAGGTCACCAGGTCACCAGGTCATTTTAACTTCTCTGAAAAAGCGAGACAACAAGACATTTTGACAACATCGTAGAAAACACACAAAACTCTTGAATTTTGTATAAAAAAAGCAACCCGCGGAATTCCGCGGGTTGGTATATTCTTCACAAAATGCTTGTTTTGAGGTCGAGCCACAAACGAATGTCCGACGGTTAAGCCACTCAAAAATATTTTTTATTTTTATTGTACGTACTGAAATGACAGTCGAAGCAAAAACGTTCACGAACAAATCTAATGGCGAAACATTCACAAAAGGCACTTACAACGGTATTGAAGTCTTACGTAGAGACAAGGATGGTTATATAAATGCAACAAAGATATGTCAGCAGTTTGGGAAAGACTTTAGAAGGTTGTTGGAAAATAAGTCCTGGGAAGAGTATTATACGGCATTTTGTGAAGAATATACCAACCCGCGGAATTCCGCGGGTTGCTTTTTATACAAGGTTCATGCAGGAATTCCGGATGAAATCAAACAGGTTAGAGGAATGTATGTAGACCCAAGACTCGTAAACTATATAGCAATGTGGGCTTCTCCAAAATATTGTATAGCAGTTGGAAAAATTATGGACTCCATAGACAAGAAAGTTCATGAGAAATTAGATGAAGAAGAACTTGAAGATACAGTAGAGAATGCAAAACCTTTGTTCGAACAAGAAGTTAGAAAAATGTGCTTAAACAAATAGAACATGAACGTGAGATATGTTCTGGTTATAGAGATTCTCCATACGAACTAGACCAATGGGAACAAGAAGATTTAAAGAGAGAATTTAGAGAATATGAACTCGCTAAGATAGCATTAGAAGCTGCAGAAGAGAGGTTAAAAGTTTGGGGTCGTTTTGTACAAAAATATTGTGAGTAAATGAACCATTTTTTTATTGAATTCGGCAAAAATATATTTTAGGCGACCAGGTCACCAGGTAATTTTAACTTCTTTTAAAAAGTGTGACAACACGACATTTTGACAACATCGTAGAAAACACACAAAACTCTTGAATTTTGTATAAAAAAAGCAACCCGCGGAATTCCGCGGGTTGGTATATTCTTCACAAAATGCTTGTTTTGAGGTCGAACCATTTTGGCTCCACCTGTTTTTTCAACCAAAACTCATTTTTGTCTGATTTACGCTCATGTTTGACAAAACATATACGATGAAATCTATTTCCTGTGTTGTTGTCAAAATGTCTTGTTGTCAGTAATTTTAAGAGAAGTTAAAATGACCGAGGCACATAGGCACATGGTCTCACCTAAAATATATTTTTGTCTGATTTACGCTCATGTTTGACAAAACATATACGATGAAATCTATTTCCTGTGTTGTTGTCAAAATGTCTTGTTGTCACCATTTTCAAAAAGATGTTAGTTGACCGAGGCACATAGGCACACTTCAGTTCTTCAAAACATTGACGATGAAATACAACAACAAAACATATACGAAGAAGTTTATTTCCTGTGTTGTTGTCAAAATGTCTTGTTGTCAGTAATTTCAAAAAGATGTTAGTTGACCTGGTGACCTGGTGACCTGGTCGCCTAAAATATATTTTTGCTGAAAAAAATAACCAAATTTCATGAATTTCCTCATATGTTTGCTACCCTCGAAAAACCGAGGATAGAGATTCCGTACGAAAACAGTGAAAAAAACTCATGAAATAACTGTTTTTTTGACGAAGTGAACTTTAACACTTCGTCAAAAAAATAGCGTTTACCATATACTACGCTTATGAAATAACTGTTTTTTTGACGAAGAGAACTTTTGCACTTCGTAAAAAAAATGACGTTTACCATATACTACGCTTATGAAAATCGTGAAAAATTGCGAGTAGGTGAAAAACCCTGGTCGCCTAAAAATGACGTTTACCATATACTACGCTTATGAAAATCGTGAAAAATTGCGAGTACGTTAAAAACCGTAGTCGCCTAAAAATGACGTTTACCATATACTACGCTTATGAAAATCGTAAAAAATTGCGACCCGCGGAAAACCGAGGGTCACCTAAAAATGACGTTTACCATATACTACGCTTATGAAAATCGTGAAATTTTTACGAAGTGAACTTTAACACTTCGTCAAAAAAATAGCGTTTACCATATACTACGCTTATGAAAATCGTGAAAAAATGCGACCCCGACTTTTCCCGGGGTCGCCTAAAACACATGAAAATCGTAAAAAAATGACCAAATTTCATGATATAACTGTATCTTTTATACAAAATAAAATAACGCTAGTTTTTTTAAAATATTTTTTTTTATTTTGTATGTAAGAACAGGAAATGACAAACATTGAGTTTGAAACAGTTAAAAAGATAGACAATGAGACCAAAGTGGTTAGAATTGGTGATTTAAACGTAAGATACTCAAAGAAATACAAGAAATATTCTTTGTCAGACATTTTAACACTATCTGAAAAGAAAACATCCCACGACTGGGTTAGAAATGCTTCAACTCAGAAAATTTTGACAAAAAATCCTGAGCTTATGATATCGGTAAGATTCTATGGAACAAGAACATATCTTATAGACAAAAGTCTTATACCACTAGTTTTGTTCTGGATTGACCCAGTTGTTGGATATAATTTCATAACATATGGTTCATTCGATACTGAACGTTGCAGTGAAGGCTTACTTTACATCGTTCAGAAACCGAAGGACTTCAATACAAAGAGATATAAGATAGGAAGAACATTTAATATAACTCAAAGATATGACAGTACAGTCAATAGAGTTAAGGTTGCGTTTGTTAACGATATGAGAGCTGCAGAAACAGAACTACTTGAAATGTTTGAGAAAATGTATGGTGCTCCCACGAAAGGTAAAGAAACGTTTGAAGTAGATGAGATAGCTAAAGCTATAAAAATTATTGACGAAGTTGCTGAAAAAATACAGTAAAGCGTTTTTTTTGGTCTTTTATACAAGATAGAAAATAACGCTAATTTTTTATAAAAATATTTTTTTATTTTGTATGTAAAGACAGATATGTCAACATCAGAGAACACAACAACTGCTATCGTTCATGAAGCCATAAGTGAAGAATATGAGTGGGTTCAGTATAACAAACAGTTACGTCTCATTCGTTCGGTCAAAGATGACATGTACCAAATGCAAAGTATTTTGACAGCATGTTTTGCTCCAGATACTAAACACGCAGACGACTGGTTCAGAAACCAAAGCACACAAGAACTTTTGAGTGAAATTTCTCTAGACCGAGAATTCTCGGCCTTGCATAAAACACATGAAAATCGTCAAAATTTGCCAAATGGTTTGAGAGGTTGGTATGTACATAGACTTCTTGTAAATGCTGTTGCAATGTGGGCTTCGCCTCGTTATGCTTGGTATATTTACAGACTTCTTGACGAAATTCATAGACAAGAACGTGAAGAGCTAGAGAACAAGCTTGAAGCAAAAGACAAAAACATACAGAAAAGAATACCCACGTTCGGTACCAAAGGTAAGGAAAAGAACTATAAGTATATGATTTATACTGAAGAGATGGAAAATGAAGAAGACAGAGATATGGTTATGTTGCATTTAGTCAGAAGAAACAACAAAAGCTTTTACGACCTTGCTAAGATTTACAAATCTGACAGAAATTGGTTCTATCGCGAAAACTTACCGATTTCAATGACACCGAATGAAGATGTGAAACAAATAGTTCAAGATACGTTACCTCAAACACACTATGATATGAAAGGTTGTACAATACTTACATTCAAAGAAGATTTACCGCTACTGAAAGAAAAAATAACAGAGTATTTTGACAACTTCAAACAAGCAGAGTAGATGAACCATTTATTTTTCAAGCTTGACACCAAAGATGGCTCAGGTAGCTCTATAAGGTAAATTGTCTTGTCCGAGTCCTTCTGGCATTCCGAGTCCTTCTGGCATTCCGAGTCCTTCTGGCATTCCGAGTCCTTCCTTCCAACAGGAAAAGTTTTTCCTTCCAACAGGAAAAGTTTTTCCTTCCAACAGGAAAAGTTTTTCCTTCCAACAGGAAAAGTTTTTCCTTCCAACAGGAAAAGTTTTTCCTTCCAACAGGAAAAGTTTTTCCTTCCAACAGGAAAAATTTTTCTTTCCAACAGGAAAAATTTTTCCAGTTGTCCGTCCGTAAACCATTCAAATTTTCGAAAATTGAGAAATTTTTGGCCGACCTTCAGGAAAAGTTTTTCCTTCCAACAGGAAAAATTTTTCTTTCCGACAGGAAAAGTTTTTCCTTCCAACAGGAAAAGTTTTTCCTTCCAACAGGAAAAGTTTTTCCTTCCAACAGGAAAAGTTTTTCCTTCCAACAGGAAAAGTTCTTCCTTCCGACAGGACACAAACGAATGTCCGACGTACCACCAACCGAGTCCATTCCAAAGCCAGAAGAACCGAAAGCTGCAGAACCACAACAGACTAAGACCAAACACTTACATTTTTCACGCTTGACTTTTACAATTTGAACTTTGTTTGCGTAGATATGAATTCTGAAAGAAGTATGAGGGTCTTGTATGACTTTGTACTTCTCCCATAGTTCATGTCTGTCAAACTTACCTGCCATGGACTCTTTCATAAGTTCCATGAAATCGTCTTCGGACAATCCGGGGAAAAGTACAATGTCAGTAAGTATTCTCTTTACATCCTTACTTAAACTCTTGGCTGTCTGTACACAAATGACAACAGAGATGTTAAAGTGTCTGAGCTTCTTAAGAATTCGACACATATCTTGTTCTCTGTTCTTTAACAAAGGATGAGAGGCGAAATCATCTAAGATAAGAAGACATCTGTGAGGGTAAGTCTTCCAATCGTAAGATTGCAATTTTTCGAAATGTATTCTATCTCTTTCTGTTTGTTTCTGAAGTGTTTCTTCTCTAATATTCTCTGCATTTCCTCATTTGGGTCTTTAAACTTCGAATTTATATACTCATTTATAGCATTGTACTTCAAAACTCTTCTTTGGTACTTCTTTATCCAATCTAACAACTCAGAGTCTTTTATACATACTAACTTAGACTTCTTTATAATATCTTTGAACGAATTGACGGTTTGGTCAAATTGACCGAAGTACTACAAATGACAACTAACTCATAGAATGGGTTCTTCTCATCTAGTTCTTGTTGTTGTGCAGCCATTTTAAGATAAGTGAAAGTCTTACCCGACCCAGGTGGTGCAATTAGACCTGTTATACCATTCTGAGCAAATAAGAACTTGTCATGTATGGGTTTTATCTGAGCATTTTCCAACTTCCTCTTGTTCTTGTTTAAAACATTCTCAAATTTCTTGTCAATGTCAGCAAACTTTTTTTCTAACATATTTTTAGAAAAATTAAAACTTTTATCTTTTAGAAAATGTCTAGCGATTTCGCCATCTATATTCGAGACAAGCTTTTCGACAGCAAAACATCTGTAGACCATAAAATCTTACATAGTGTAAACAAGAAAGGTGAATTTGTTCTAAAGTTCTGTTTCTGGGAATATGACAAGAACCATAAAACATTAAGCAGAGCAGTCTTAAAATTTCGTAATGACAGACTTGTTGACAGAGATGACCTCTTGGAGAGATGAAGTCCAACAAAACTTCTTAGAATGCAAAGAAGACACATGCGCTGTTCTTGAAGATGAAATAGAAAACAGAATAGAAGAGCTATTAAAGGACAAAGAACTTTTACAAAAATATGGTTCTGAGAAGTTTGACATAACTCCACCAGAAAAAGAAAGAGAGAAAAGAAAGAAAAGAAAGTAGAAGAAGAGAAGAAAGAACCTGAACCAGTTCCAGAGAAAAAGAAATTTGACATGTAAAAATAAAATTTTATTTTTAGAACATTTCTGGGTCAATGTCAATGTTCTCTTCCTCTTTAGGAGTAAACACCGGCTTAGACTCTAAAATCTTTTTACCCAATTTACCTTGAACTTCTACAACTTTAGACTCATAATATTCATAGTCGTCTGCTTTCTTTGGTTCATAAGTATAACAAGTTTGTATGCTTTGCCTTCTTTAAGGTTTGAAAACCTTCTGTCAAAAACTTTCTTTGACTGTTAACAAACCTTCTATGTCTAAGTCTTCAAATTTCGCACCATTTTTAGTCACAATAGCAAACTTAACTGGTTCGATGTTCCAAACTTTGCTGAATGTAGACTTTTCAAAATGTAGAAGTAAACATTCAAATATGTGAATGGGTCTAGTTCTTCTTTAAGTCCTGACATGTACTTGTTTACTGAGATGAATTTCGTCATCTTTTCTATCGGATAAAAAAATATTTTTTTTTAAATTTACTCAGAAAAATTTTTCTTTGTATATACACCATTCTGTACGTCTAAAAGACTTTTGACATTTGCCAAGAATGTTCGTTTAGACGCTGTCATATAACCATACTCTTGACAATACTGTTTATACGAATCGTACAATGACCTTTCATCTAAACACTCAAAGTCAGTTTCATCTATGAACAGTTCATATACACTCTTGTTTGCTTCTAACAATGTTTGTCTCTCTTCGGTATGTGGAATTTGTCTTGGATTGAACTTAGAAATATCTAATGTCATGAAATATGAGAACAAGTGGTTGTAAAAGTCAGGTGTCAAAGTTTCTGCTAAGTCGTCAAAATATTCTGTATCTTGCATATGAAATCTGACGTTCTGACAACTACATATCTTCTGTCAGAACTTTCTAACTTCATCGGAACAGCATTGTTTGAAACCATGACGAAGTTTGCAACATTTTCACAAACTCTTTGGTCTTTATATTTTCTTTCAACAACTCCAACTTTGTCTGTTATAAGACTCTTCAAAGCATCTGAGTTCAAAACTTTTGTTGTATCTATACTTTGAAGTTCGTTACATACTATAAGTTTCATATTCTCTATTGAAGAGTTAAATTTACCGCAGATGTTTTCTAAGTTTGTCATATTCGGATTCGAATAGCCCTCTAACAGTTTGCACAAAATATCTGTAAAGAAAGTGTTCTTACCTGTTCCTTGTTTTCCAATTATGATGAGAGCAGTTTCATTTTTAGCACTTGGATGTTGTAAGATGTTTGCAAACCAACATAAGATATACTCATAAACCTTTTCGTTTCCATTGCATATAATTTCTTTGACATGGTCTAACCAAGCTTCTATAACATTTTCTTTCCATTCTACTTGTTCGTATTTATATCCAGTGAAGATAGAATAGAAGTTTGGAGATGGTGTATAAAACTTTATACCACGAACTGAAAAATCTTCTAACTTTGACAATAAGATATCCCAAGCATCTAACATCTTCATGCCAACTTGTACGACTTTTATTTTCTTAAGTTTCTTTACATTCTTGTTCAGACACTATTGTTGCTCTTGGTTTGTTAAAGACAACATCCCATTCTTTCATGACATAACATTCTGGGGCAGAGTCGACATAAATGACTAAACGTTTCAAATTCTCGACTGCTTTGTTATAGTCTCTAAATGGACACATATTTCTGAAGGCTTGGAAGTCATAAAAATCTGAAACATCTATTCTGTACATTTTTATAAAAATAAAAAAAAATATTTTTTTTATTCTTGACTTTGTTGTTGCATTTGTTGTTCTTGAGCTATTTGTTGTTGAAGTTGTTCTTGTAATACAATACTTTCACCAGTTGCATCTTCCAATTCGAAACTTTCTGCCGTCATTGACAAATACATAGGACATAAAAGTTTTACAGGAACAAAGTTTGCGTCGACTAAGGTTAAGTTTATGTTTGCTAAAGTGTTTTGAGTTTACTAAAGCTGAAAACTCTGCATTCGAATGAACAATAGGCAAACCAGCAGAGAAAGTGTTGTTTATACGCATGAGTATCTTTTGGTCATAGTAGTTTCTGTCGACATTCGAATAGCACTTTGAACCTAAGTTTGAAACAATATATAAAATAGGTGTACTTAAAGTCAATGGAACAGATAGACCTTGTATGACACCTTTTCCTGTTATAGGAAACTGTTGGTAGTAAAAACCAGATATAAGTTTTGTATTATAGCTCATATCGTTTATACTAAACTCAGTCGGACATCCAAACATAATGAAACCTGCTCTAGTTGCAGCACATGTTACATCCGTCCTTAAAGTATTAAATAAGTCAACAAAACCTGTTGGTGGTATATCTGAGTAAGTATCTTCAAAGAAGTATTTTTTACCATTCACAACAACAAAGTCTTCTGGTGTCAAAAGAGCAAAACAGGCTTTAGTCGTCATTGTGTTTAAGGTTAGTTTACAATATCGTCCTTGAGGACTTTGTAAGTTTGTTGTTATAGAATTATATGACTCAGGGTTTTTAGTCGTAATAGTATAAACCATTGTGTCTTCTGCCATTTACATATATTTAAAAGTTTTTCTGAAAGTGGAGAAGAACTTCATCTAAACTTTCACATGGCGTTTCTTGAAGTTCTCTGTCTAAGAAGTTCAAATATTTTGTAAAGACATAGAACTTTCCTTTGTCTACACGAACAAACAAAACAGGGTCTTTCATATCGTTCAAAAGTGTGTAAAGTCCTTTACATGAAATAAAGTCTATATTGTTTTTCTTCAAACATCTTTCAAGAAGTTTTGACATTTTTACTTAGCAACTAAATTTTAATGAAATGTTGTGGTCGTCAAAATTTTTTATAACGTCTGGGAAACTATATTTTAAGTTCAACGTCTCACCTCCTTTCATAACGTATATCTTGTCAATGACATTATATGAAACACCACAGCAAGCAATGTCGGGTTCTATTTCTTTGATGTTTATATCGTCTGCCTCTGTCAAAAGTTTCAATAGTTCTTTCAAAACTTCATGAGGTGCAATGACATATGAGTTCACTTTTACAGGGTTGTGTTCGACCAAGTTTAACATTATACCTAAAGCTTGACAAATCTTCTCCTGAGTTTTAAGTTTGTCTTTAAGTTGTTGGTAGTCATTTCGAATATCTGCAACAGAACTTAAGTCTCTGCTAACTTCAGGATATGTTGGTTGTTCTTTTACAGGAACTATTGTTATACCATCTTCGTCTTCGTATGGTTTCCCCACTTCAACATCTCTGTCTTTGACATTGACAACAACACTTTGACTGTTTGTTTGAGTTGGTGAATTTAACTTCACATCTGCCACCGCCATTAAACCTTTTGAAACACTTACGCTTCTATTTTTCGGAAATGACATTTTACTTAGAATAAAAAGATGGACGTATTCGGATATCTCTTCGAATTGAAGCAGAACAAAGTTTACACACACAAACAATACAAATACATTGACAGAATAGTTCTTTATACAAACAATGGTAAATGTTATAGAATAGCAATATTTGCTGAACCAAAATATTTTCATAAAGCAAAGAAAGTTGGTATAACTGAAATGGTGAAAGTTCTTGACGTTGACAAAAATATAACAACAAAACTTACAGATATTTCTAAAGGTAAGTTTATAATACAATATTATGTCAAAACTGGCGTACTGTCAATATTTGACGGAGAGAAGTCAGTTCAAGAACAACTTACTGACCTGCTGCCAAAATCTGCTCGATGGAAGCTGTCGTTATGCCAATCTGAGGAGCTCCAGCAGGTTTCATCGAACGAATTTTCAAAAGAGCATCTTCCGTGAAAAGTGCTATTGGTTTTGTAAACTTCTTTGCTTTCAGTTCATCTGGACCGTCTCTGTCACCAGTATATTGTATTTGAACTGTACCAACAGTTGAAATACCACCCATAAAGTCTTCTGAGTCAGCAAATGGAATGCCAAGCCAAAAGTTTGAACGGTCTCCATTTGTATACTGAGTTTTTTGACCTCCTGTATGAGTCCATACTTTCACATATGGCATAATAGAACTTTGCATTTCAGGGTTAATGGTTGTTGTGAAGTTGTTGTTAAAGTTCATAGCATCTAATGTCAAGTTGTATGACCTCATATCCTCAACTGTAGAATATTCTTCTCTTGGATAATATTTGCCATCTATGTTTATATGATATTTAATACCGGGGTTGTAGAAACAAGAATAGTCATTTATAGTTCGTCTGAACAGTACAAACATAGTATCTGCATGTTTCATTGCAGTTGTTAAAGCAATATCTGTTCTTGCACCTGGGTCAGCACTTTGGTTTCCAACTTCACCTGCAAAGTCTTTGACAGATATTTGGTGTATAGGGAACATAAGTGGAACTGCAATATATTTGGCAGCTAAAGCATTTGAAATATCTGGGTCCAACATATAGACTGCAAGTCTGCTTTCTATTCTCTTGCATTCAAATTTTTCGCATGTGAACTTAACTGGGTCCCAAGCAGTTCCAGCAGCATTGAAATAATAGTTTACTTCAGTGTTGAAGTTTGAGAAACCAAAGTCTAAGTCAACTTTGTCTTTGCAAAAGTCACAGAACTTGGCTCCACCAGTTCCAGCTACAGTAAGAGTGAATGGGTCTTGTGTTGGTGCAATGACTAAGTTATTTTTGCTTGGAGTAAGTTCAATAGAAATTTTTCCTGCCCAGTTTGGCAAGTATCTTAAAAACCTGAAGATGAGGAAAGATGACAAAGGGACTCTAAGTTTCAGTTTTACTTTAGTGACAGCATTTCCATCTGAACCAGAAAGGTTAACATAAACTCCTGGAACGTTAGGGTCAAGTCTTCTTATTTTCTCAATGGTTGCATACTGGTCTGTTTGTTCTCTAGCTTGTGGTTGTACTGAGTTTCTCAAAGCGAACCATTCATAGTTTGCCCATGTTACTGTTTGAACTAAGTCAGAGTTAGAATATATCTTATATCCCATGAAAACTTCTGGAGCATATTGGTATCCGACATAGAAAATTCCATTGCAACCTTTCTTGTCAGACAACTTGGCAGAAGGTTTTATTTCAATGTCTTGTTCCACGTATAAGAAAGAGTTGTCAATAGAAATTATATGAAACCTGTCGCAAGCAATATCTACTGTTGTTGAAGAACCTTCACCAAACTCACCTACGTTTCCGTAAGAAACAGCAGTTGTATATTCGTAAGTTCCAGGAACTATTTCTGACCTTCTAATGGCATTGTCGCATTCGTTATACCATTCGGAAACATTTCCATTCATGGCATCCAAAACTGTTGGCGTTATATTCTGAGCGGCGTACATTTCATATGTGTAAAAATATAGAATAGTTGGATTTATATGTCATAATAGAACCCACGTGGACCAAGCTTTACTTTCTTCCTGACTGAGTTTTTAACTCTTCTTTTTCCTTCATTGCCACTACTTTCACTAGATGAAGTTACTTCTTCACTACTTTCACTTTGTTCTACTCTTCTCTTCTTCTTTGGTAACTTGCCCTCTGCTTCAAGTTGTTGCATCTTTGCCTCATGTTCACCTAGTATGTTGTAAATTTCCCATGTCCTTTTTGCCTTTGGGCTCTGGTCGCCCATCTCAGGTAACCTATATCCTAGAAAGATTTTGTCATAGTTTGTATTTGAGTCTTCGCGTATTGTTTGCATGACTCTTTCCTGAGTTTCCGGTTCAAGCTCTTCAAACAGAGCTTGTCCATATGGAATAAGCTCGTTTCCAAATATATGTTTTTGTAGCCATTCTGGTTTTCTTTCCATGTTACCAATAATATCTTTTGTGAATGGGAAAGCTTTTACCCAAAGTTTCAGTCTTGCGTCATTTATTTCTGTAGTTGGTTTTATTTTGTCAAGGAACATGTTTTTCAATACTAACATTTCATTTGGTACTGTCCAATTGAGTTTTCTTAAATATTCATCCCTTCTCAGTTCATTGTCTGCAAAGTAAGTTTTTATGACATTTTGCAAACTTTCGTTTGCAAGGTCATGTACAATAGGTTCTCTTCCTTCTTTCTCCCTAACTTTCTTTCTAAACTCTTCACCAAATATACCATCTCTATGGTTCTGTGTAGTTCTTTGAGATAAATGTTCTAGAACGTCAGGTGTTATATTTCCATCAGCCATGTTCATTTCATACTGGTCCAAAATATCTGCATGTTTCATATCTTTCAATGGCATTAAAGCCGCGCTGAAAATACCAGCTATATCTGGTTCACCATTCACTTCCATTGCGTCTACAACTTCTTGGAATTGTGGTTGTAAGTTTATGAACCACCTATCCGGATTAGCTTTATGACCCCATCTCATTGTAGTTCCATAGTCTGCAAACAAAAGTAGGTTTGTTTCCATATTGGTTAGGTTCTGAATGAACTTTAAACAATGTTTCATTTCTATATGTTTTGTTGAAATTTAACCTTTTATTTTCACCGAGTTCATCCGAAGATTGAACGTTAAATGCTCGTAAGTAAAAAGGGTTGTTGTATTTGTGTACATTTTCTTTCAGTACTTCCATTCTATGCTGAATATTTTCATCTGGTGTTGGAGTCTTTTGTATGTCGGCAAACATTTTTCGATATTCTTCTACTATGTCAGCCGAATCTTTCTTAGACTCTTGGAAAGATTCCATATTCACCTCATGCTCTTGTTGAGGGTCAAGATTTTTCGGCTGTTCCAAATCTTCATCTAGTTCTGTGAAGTTAGTTTCCAAAGGAGGGACTTGTTCGTTTCCTTCAGGCTCTTCTAGCTGTTGTTGCTGAACTATTTCTTCCATGTCTGGTTGTATCTGAACTTCTTCCTGTGGAGTTTCTTGTACCTCATCTGCTGGCATTTCATATATTCCGAGACCGTTTTTAACAAGTTCCCTATCTAAGTCATCCGGACTCATAAACCTTTCTTCTTTCGTTCCGTCTCTATTTTTTACGCGTTTCATGAAGAGAGTTGAATTGTCATTTAGCTCTGACACCAAATATCTCGGAGTAAATTCAGTCATGTCATTTGGATGATATGCTATTAAATCATATCCCTTAGCGAGCTTGTATTTTCCAGGTTTGAAATTATATCCGATTTGGTGCTGAGCCATAAAGCTAAATAGGTTCGGGTCAGTATTTCCTTCCTTGAACTTTCTAATAGCTTCTTTATATCTGTCACTAAAGTCAATACTATCTGGGTAACCATAGTCTTCTTTAAGCATTTTTAAGAAATCTTGGTTTCCTTGTTCTCTACTTCTTTTATGTCCTTGCTCTGTTTGTGGTTGTTGTTGTGCAGGGTTTTGAACTGTTGGTTGCTGTGCTGGTTGTGGAGGTGGTTGTTGTGCTGGTTGTTGTTGTGGTGCTGGTTGTTGTGTTGGTTGTTGTTGTTGTGCTGGATTTTGAACTGTTGGTTGTTGTGTTGGTTGTGGTTGTTGTTGTGTTGGTTTTGGTGCATGCCTGTGTCTGTGTCCATGTGACGATGTAAATGTTTTAGGTAGTCCTGGTGCAGGTGCTTCTCTTGGAGGGTTTGGTGGTATATAAATTCCAACAGCTGGTATATATGTTCCACCAGCTGGCACATATGTTCCATCTGCAGCGTAATGTCCTACCTGACTTTTCGTTCTTAAGAAAGCATTTACTAGGTCTGTTTTGGTCTGTTGTAACTCTTTTTCTTGACTTTCCACAACAGTTGCTCTAACGGCGTCATAGGCACTTTGAACTGCCTGTCTCGTTGCTGCATCTGTTATTTTCGTCATATTTTGTGCTACTTCTTTTAACTCTTTGTCGAAACCTTCAGACTTCAGTTTCTTTCCAGATGAGAAGTCGTTCACTA